AAGGCTCTTACGCGTTTAGCGTCAGATGCTGTACAGAAATAATACCACACATGTGTTTGAATTACACTTTTGATAAAAAAAAAAAAAAAAAAATACTAATATCCTTTTGTCTGAATATCATATGCCATACCATTAGATACGCCGACTGCGAATGGACTCAGCGGCACAGGTTGATTTGCGAAGAAAACATTGACTGAGTGCACACCCTGGACCACCGGCGTGTAATCACATCTATACACTCCGTTAGGTTCTTTCTTGAGCTTCACTGGTATCGTGTTCTCTCGGCCAGCCGGATCGAGAATTATCACCTCCGGAACACCTTTTCCGGCATCTTAACAAATAGAAACATCGTGTTCAGATTTGAAATATCTCCCAAGGCATCATAATATATAACAATTTAATCACCTTTCGTATGGATTTCGAAATAAGTTGGTCTGTTCGTGAACACGCCTTCGGGCTGTATACCAGGCCCGAAGACATTTACTTTGTTTGGATCGCCAGCCGACGTGTCCACGTTAACGTGATACGGAGATTTCGGAGTCGGGACGCCGGAAAAGTTGACATGCACTTTATGCGGTCCTTCGACGACTGGTTTATACGTTGCCGTGTATGTTTGACTTCGGTCGTTGTTGAAAACCAGATCAACCTAAAAATTGAAAAAAAAAAACATTTGATTACGAAGGATATCATTTTGTCAGTTAGATGCTTACCGGTTCGGCTTTTCCTTTGGGGTTTTCCACAGACACGTTGACTGTGCCTTTACCGGCGGAAAATGTTTCGACGGTGAAATTCGTTTTGGCTCCCACAGTCGGCCCAGAGGGTTCGATACCGGGACCATAAACACGAACGCTAAACGAAATACAGAAAATATTATAATATATTAATATGAAGTCGAACATGCTAAGTAGGTACTAGGTAGTCTTGTTAAAATAGATACTTGAGTAATATTATTTGAATACTTTTTAAGTGGGTAATCAATTACGTATTGTAAATATTTTTGAAAAAAGTACTTGAACAAAATATTTTAAATAATTTTTTCAAGAGTGTATATTTAAAATAAAATACCTAATCATTTTCAAATACTGGTTCTCTAACTAAAAATTGAGAATATATATTTAAATATATTTTTTTACTGTGAATTTATTATACTCAAGCAAAAATTAAAATACTTCTACATGAAAACAGAAGATTATTTTAAATACATACTATTGAACATAAGTATCTGAAGTATCTGTATTTGAATACTTTTAAAAATCATATTTTACAAGACCGATTTTGATTTAAATACTTAATTTTGTACGATCAAAATATAATGCTATTGTACATACCGGCTCGGGTTCGTTTTCGATCTAATCGGTGCTCCTTGTTTCAACTTTGCGTTCGGGTACTGAGATAGATAAGTCATCATGGATTGTTCGTCCATGTTGGGGCTGACCAATTCTTCGGGTTTGATGAGCTGAAAACATAGTTTATAATGATTAATGATTGTTGTTACGTTCATTTGAACACAATTAAGACAGTGTTAGTATTATTTACTTGTTTGATGTTAAGCCAATCATCAGCCAAGCCCATGGCTTCTGATGCATTTTTAAGTGCGTTGTTGGATTTCCAGTCCTGCCAATCCGGACACAAGCCTATACAAATATAAATTATGATTACAATTTAAAAGGCCTTTGAGTATTTTGTTAACAAAACTATGACGTTGCAGGTCTTATAATTACCCGGAGCCACTGCATCGACTAAAGCACCGACGGCCTTTCCGTCGTTCCAGTCTGTAGTGAAATTCGAAATCGGTATGTCAGGAACCTTACTCTGGATCCAATTCAGCAATCTAAACAACACGTAGATTTTAGTATTTTAATATTTTATTTTTTTATTCATACAATTATTATGGGTAGGTTACGGCTGAAAACGAAAATTCATCGTTCGATCGCTACCATCGTATTATATATTTTTAATCCTTTGTTAGATTTAATCTCAGCAATACCATGCCCTTGTGGGTATTTTAATGTCCCAAGTAACTCACGTGTCTTACACAGAAAACGCATTAAATCAGTTGATGTTCATTTTGTTTCGTCCAGTATGTATTTTTTTAACATGTAAAGTGTACAGAAAACGATAACATGGTTCAAGATTATATTATTATTATTTAGCCATGGCAGACGACAATGATATTTTAATCCTTTCATTTTATGTCCAACACAACACCCTTCGACTATTCTTATTCGTCGGATACACTACCTACAACCTACCTACTTAACATTCCATACCGTCTGCGCCCTTAACACTACTACAGTTGTGGCGTAATATGTATTATGCATTTCGACACACGTAAATGTTTGGGTAGAATACAATTGAGAACGGTCCTTATCGGCTATACCTTTTTTAAAAACACGATTGAGAACGTTTTTACCTGCTAACTTTTATGCAACGTTGCCACATTAATTAAAAATATAAAGTATACAATTTATATATAAATATCAATTACTATATTTCTTTGAGTTTTTGGTTACAGTCTATTGTTAGGTAATCGAAAAAATTTTCGTTCATTTTATAAACAAATTTAAGGCGAATTTTATCAAGAAATGCAAAAAAATCAGTTTTAATCAGCAACATTTCAAAACACCGAAAAAAGTATGTCCTTAGATCAAAATCCCAGCCCTAAAAATTATTACTAAAATTTAAGATAAATGGCAACGTCACTCGATAAATCGTTCTCAATCATTTAAATTTAAAGTCAAAATATTGTTTCTTTGATCTGCTGACAATTGTTCTCAATTGTGTTGCTAAAAATGTAAAACGTTCTTAATAATTGTACAACACCGAAATGTTTGTACCTACATTTCTGTTTCTATTTTCCCAATAAAAGTGTATTATTTTATAAGTTAAAACCACAAAAATAGAGCAATTAATAATTAATTTTATCAATACCTTGATACATGCCATTAAACTTTGATCAACAATAATAAGAATGGCGTGTTGAAGAAAACATAGATTTTTTTAACGCAGATATATTTTTTCAAATCTATGATAATAATATTATGTTATTTATTAATTATTTTAAACTGTATATTACCTTTGTTTCGGTGTGGCTCCTTTTTCGTTTGGTGCTTGCTCCCCACCAAATTCACCATCCCACATTGGCATTGATATAGAGTAATGTAAAATTAACGTCCATATTAATCCCAAAATCAATTTCAATTTACAATCAACAATATCGGAAGAATCTGTAAAATAATTAAAAATAAAAATATTATAAGACTAAAATAAATTGTTTMATTATTTGAAATAATATTTATTTTTTTAATATTAAGTATTTTTTCAAAAAACTTATAATTTATATTATTAATATCATTTGTACGTAAAATAGCATTTATTTTAAAAACATCCAAGTTTAAAACGTTTACTGTAATATTAATTTAATGTACCAATCACTTCATGCTAATTTAAAATTCATTAACAATCGTGTAATTGAAAATTGGTAGCAATTGTCAATTGCTTAGTGTTTCAAAAATGTGAAGATTTCCAGGTGAAAAATTCTAGAGGACTTGTCATAACTAAGTACGGGTGGGTTTTAAAATCGAAATTTCAATGAATGTAGTATTATTGTCAATATTATTGTTCTTAATTTTTTGTGATTAATTCAAACATTGTGTCCAAAATTTTTCAAACAAATGCAATTTTTATTATTTAATAAATTTAATGTCACCGATTCAAAAAAATTAATACTCCGATCGCGATCTGAGCGTCATAATTAAGAAAATAATAATATGACATAAGCGAAGAAACACTTAAACGTCTGTATCTTAATACATTTTATTCTTTTTATTCTTAATAAAAGAAACCCCTTGAATGCTGGAATTAAGATGGMTATGGAATTAAATATTGACGTTGGTTTGTTTAGAATCTTTAGATTTTATAAGAAAATGGTAAATGAAAAAATTWAATTACTAACATAGATAATTTTTTTATATCTGTATTGCAGTCAAATTGTTATATTTATTATGTAATTCTAAAATATTTAAAAATTTATATTTATGATAGCTTATTTTAACTTAATCAACTATGATCAACTTATAATGTGTTAATTTAATTATTTAGTAAATGTACGAGATATTTTTAAGAACCTTGTCTCCACAACAAGCCTAGCTTACGGAGACAATCATTTATATATAATGCCAATTACATTAAATAATTAAGTATAAGTATTGTAATAATTTACATGTATGTATACATTTCTATTTTAAATGAAAACAAATAAATAATAATAATAATACAAAATTTCTACCTGCAACGATTTTTTTTTTTTACGAAAATTTTAACTCTCGATACCCATACTTAATAACTTAATGAGATTAAAAATAATCGTCTAATAAATCACTGTATACTGTGTATTATAGTTAATAATAATATAAAGAATACATTATATAGTATGTATACGATGTTAGTTACATCTTTGGTGAATTTAAATTTCCCTTTTAAGACTGTTTGTGCATAATAATATAGGTAACGTTATTAAAATTTAAATTAAATTACTTTACGGTTATTGTTAAAGATACAAAAAATAGGTAATAATATATGGTGTAAAAAATGTGCACGAAACTATGTTAAACGTCATTTCGTTTTTAATGTAGCAATAAATGCATAGTAAAAAAATAAGATATGCCAAACACATAATCATGGTTTAATACCGTAAAACATATTTAACGGCAATCGTAATAATAATAATAATAATAGTAAAATATTATGTTTTTTTCTATATATTAACATTTTGTGTATAATATGACATATACAAACAAAATTCTGGATAATTCCTTAGTATACCGATCACACTTGGTATCGTGTAATAATTAATTGCGCAGACAATGATAAACAATATTCGTTTTTAATTATAAAACATGACAATAATGCAATACCGAAAGTAATTCTCTTTGATGGACTAAGGACTTAATATTAATACGTTACAATACATATGCCTGTAATTATGATTTTTATACGCAATATTAGGTATTATTATTGTTGTTGATAGAACGTTACACAATATCAACAGTGATAAAATAATATATTATTTAAAATTTTAAGAAATTATCAAATTAAAATGATTGAGGGCTATAAAAAATAATTTCAACATACGTATATTATACTATATATATACCTATTTTATAGTAGGTATGGAAACAAAAAATAAACTTTAAATCAAATGCACAAAGTCCAATATACTGACTTTAAAAAAGCAGCTATATATACAATTTGTATTTTTTATTTTAAGTGCTAGCAACCACGTGGGTACAGCTATTACTAAAATATCGTTATTAGCTGATGTTTTTTAATACGATATTACACAATTCTACAAAATATCATGGCTCGTAACTCATTAATCATATAATTGATCAACTTCATAAAAACAATCTATTTATTACAATTTATATGCAATCATCCTAAGTTTGTTTTCCATTTGAATTGTATACCAATCCTATGTTTACACTAAAAGTACAAAACCTAACTGTAGCGTTGATTTCGTATTGTTATATAATGTATCGAGGAAGTCTAAAAAAATTCTCTAGCTGTTAAAAAAAACTAATATTTTAATATCTATTTGATATTTTGAATTGTTTGATATGACTGAATATTAAGACTAATATTTTAAACAAACGATGGATTTAATCTGTGATGTTATAGTATTAATAGGTACCTATATAATAATAATTGTTTAAAAACATATAAGTACTGATGAAACAAAGGCAACAGTGGCATGACATCATAATCGGTTCGATGACGATCCAGTGTGGGTTAAAAAAATTAAAACAACTATGTATAATATAATATATAGGAACCGCGTGTATGGTAGAGAATTCGATGCTCTGGTATCTGGAGCATAAAGCGTAACGTGCGATTGTCTGTGCGTGTACCTATAGGTATCTCGTAATTTTTCTACCACGTACGATAGCCATGCATATACATACATATTACGCACGTTAAAGTATATTATAAATTTATTATGTAAAACAACAAAACCATACGCGTTTTTCGTATTACAATAATATTATCATATAAGTACCTACCAGACCTACAGGGTGATCTGTTTATCTAACACCTGTTGCAGACGCAAATAATGCGCTACACTCTTTATCCAAGTAAACTGCGCAGATTGTAAAAATCGCGATTTCGGAAAAATAAATAATTCAATATTATTGGAGGTTGGAATAATGTCTGAAGTACATTAATATATATAATATATATATAATATAATAATTGTATAAAATTATAATAGTAATATCCATTCATACGTTATAACAATTTTTCACAATCGATGACATTTATTCGACGACAACCAATTTTTTAGTTTTCCAAGTTTTTAGCACCTAAGCATGAGGACACAACTATGAAAGCTTTGATTTTTTTTTTTTAGTAAAGGATTTGAACGTCAGAAAATTGGATGAGTGAAGTGCCAATGTCATCGGAATTTTAAAGTTTAAATCTAGACGAACAGAATATAATAATGTTATCTATGTAATTAGTCATTAAAAAACCTAAAAAATATAAAGTCACAAAAATTTATCGGTAAATAAACCATATCTGTAGTGAATCAGATTAATATTTAAACTGATCTTCGTGATAATGTGTCTGTTTTTACATATCAGCAGCATATTATAAATTATAATTCATCATTTCTTAAACTGTTTAGTGTCGCGACACTAAAAAAAAAATCGAAAATAAAATTAATGATCTCACGACACCCCTTTAAAATAAACACTAATTTGAGTCAATTATCAGCTGATTTGAAAGTTACCCGACATTTAATAACTAATAATTAACATATTTTTGATACACAAAAGTAGAAAAATAGTAGTTAGATAGTGTAACGATATAACTATTAGTTAATTTTAAGTGAGTTTTACTAGTTATTTTTTTTAAACTGTTTTTAGGTATATAAGTATGTATCATAAGGTATATCTCTAGTTAAATCTTTTTTGTTCTGTATATTATTCAATCTTAATGCATACAGGTTAATGCTGCAGATAAATTACAGCAAAAAAACATTCTTCTGCATATATTATTTAATAATTATAGAATTTGGGCCACTAATGAAATATCATGGCGTTCACTGAAATAGTAAAACGGTCGATTTTATTTTAGAAATAAGCGTACTATTGAAATTTAAATGAGCTTGGAGTCGTTTTTAAAACGTCAAATTATTATTATACAATATTTAGATCGCTTTCGAATTAAGTAAATCATAGGTACGTCAGACATTCATATCTACACTACATCACCAGTCATCCCGACAATTTGCAGTGGCTTGCGTCAAAAACAGTGTATATATATATTATTTTAGCTAACTATATACATATAATACCCATTCCACTTTTGACATGTATACTTAAATAGAATGTTGATTTTATAAATTAGAAACTGTAGCTTATCTCAATGTGATGTCCGATCTCAGTTTATAAAATAATATTTTTAATTAAAATTTACATTTAGTCACACAGTAGGTATTTTAATTTTCGTTTAAACGGTTTAATGCGTKATAATATTGTCGTTCTAAATTCAAAGCATATTTCTCTAAAACAAAATATTGTAAAAATGYAATCTATTAATAATTAGAGTCTACTCAGTGTTGTATAAAGATCGCGATTTATACCTATATATATATAATAACGAGTGCGCCTAGTATGAGCAAACTGTATACAAGTTTGAGAGCTTGAAATTGCAGTGCAGTTCATCTGAAGTTTTGCTTTATTGATATAATAATTGAAAACTTTTACTTAAACAGAAGAATACAATTTTGTTTGCGACGATTCAGACTTTGAGTTAGCTATATATATATATATATAATACTATACTGGAAAATTACTGGACAAAAAAACAGAAAATAATTTGAATTCAGCATGATATCTATGAAACCCAGCTAAAAAGAAGACTGAAGCGGTGGGTTGAAGCCGTCGTAATAAATGAGTGGTATAAATCATTTGTGAGATAAACAAGATAAAATACCTACCGCAAGAGACTAAACTACTAAAGGAGTTCTATAAGATATTAACAAGCATAATAATATGTACCAGAAATCATAAAAAAAAAATGTAATTATGCGTTCACAACATAGGTATAGAATATAATACACTTTGTTTAACTGCCGAATCATCGTCGCCGTGACATTCATGTATCGTATTTTACGAAGGTATTCCGCGAAACGTTATTGCTAGCTACAGACGGTATAAAATTA